AAGCAGAAAGAATTCTCGAAATTCCGGAATTTTCCCACCCTCCACAAGAATTTCACTTCCTTTCACGAGAATTTCAGTCTACCGGACGAGAAATTTAGTTATGAAAGAAGCAAGAGCAGCAAACTCAAAGCGAATTTTACTCTTCTACACGATAATTACAGTCACTCACACGAGAATTCTCCTTGAGTAAGGGGAACTGGGAACATCCCTAATACATTCTTCACGAGAATTTTACTTTTCCACAGGAATTTCGAGAATATCCACGAGAATTTTAGTCTGTGTACACGAGAATTTTACTTTCACACGGGAATTTTGAGAATTACCACGAGAATTTTAGTCTGTTACACGAGAATTTTACTTCTATCACAGGAAATTGAGAATATCCCGGAGACACTCCCCACGAGAATTTTACATTCACACGGGAATTCTGAGAATTACCACGAGAATTTTAGTCTCTTGCACGAGAACTTTACTACTATCACAGGAACTGAGAATATCCCGGAGACACTCTCCACGAGAATTTTACTTTCACACGGGACTTTTGAGAATTACCACGACAATTTTAGTCTCTTGCACGAGAATTTTACTTTTTCACAGGAATTTCGAGAATTTTAGTCTGTGTACACGAGCTATTGCACCTGCACGTAATACTTACAATTAATCCCTAATCCGACACTGCTATAAATTCTTTTACGTACAACATGACCTTAATCGCCGGTGCGTGTCGCAGCATTTCACGAACATTCTGGATTTCTTAACATAGAACTCGTATTTAAATCCAGCTTCAATTCGAATTCACTCCGCAAGTCAAGTTCAGAACCTAACCCACGGCATATTCTGGTGCAACAGACTAAAATTCTCGTCGTAATTCTCAACATTCCCGTGTGAAAGTAAAATTCTCATGGAGAATGTCTCCGGGATATTCTACAATCCTTTGATACAAGTAACATTCTCGTGCAGGAGATTTCTCGTGGGAATTCTCAAAATTCCCGGGTGAAAGTAAAATTCTTGTGGAGAATATCTCCAATATTTTCTCAGTTCCCTGTGACAGAAGTAAAATTCAGGGCCAAGAGGCCAAAATTCTCGTGTAACAGACAAAAATTCTCCTGGTAATTCTCAAAATTCCCGTGCGAAAGCAAAATTTTCGTGGAGAATGTCCCCGCGGTATTCTCAATTTTCTGTGATAGAAGTAAAATTCTCGTGCAACAGACCAAAAATTCTCGTGGAGCATATCTCCGATATTTTCTCAATTACCTGTGATAGAAGTAAAATTCTCATGGAGAATGTCCCCGCAATATTCTCAGTTTTCTGTGATAGAAGTAAAATTGTCGTGCAAGAGACTAAAACTGTCGTGGTAATTCGCCAAATTCCCGTGTGAAAGTAAAATACTCGTGCAGAATATCTCCGATATTTTCTCAGTTTCCTGTGATAGAAGTATAATTCTCGGGCAAGAGACTAAAATTCTCGTGGTAATTCTCAACATTCCCGTGTGAAAGTAAATTTCTTGTGGAGAATATCTGCGATATTTTCTCAATTACCTGTGATAGAAGTAAGATTCTCGTGCAAGAGACTAAAATTCTCGTGGTAATTCTCAATATTCCCGTGTGAAAGTAAAATTCTCATGGAGAATGTCCCCGGAATATTCTCAGTTTTCTGTGATAGAAGTAAAATTGTCGTGCAAGAGACTAAAATTCTCGTGGTAATTCTCAATATTCCCGTGTGAAAGTAAAATTCTCATGGAGAATGTCCCCGGAATATTCTCAGTTTTCTGTGATAGAAGTAAAATTCTCGTGCAAGAGACTAAAACTGTCGTGGTAATTCGCCAAATTCCCGTGTGAAAGTAAACTTCTCGTGGAGAATATCTCCGATATTTTCTCAGTTTCCTGTGACAGAAATAAAATTCTGGGCCAAGAGGCCAAAATTCTCGTGTAACTGGCAAAAATTCTCGTGGTAATTGTCAAAATTCCCGTGCGAAAGCAAAATTTTCGTGTTGAATATTTCCGATATTTTCCCTGTTTCCTGTGATAGAAGTAAAATTCCCGTGCAAGAGACTAATATTCTCGTGGTAATTCTCAAAATTCCAGTGTTAAAGTAAAATTCTCGTGGAGAATATCTGCGATATTTTTTCAATTTCCTGTGACAGATGGTAAATTCTGGGCCAAGAGGCTAAATTTCTGGTGTAACAGACTAAAATTCTCGTGAAAATTCTCCACATTCCCGTGTGAAAGTAAAATTCTCGTGGAGAATACCTCCGATATTTTCTCAATTTCCTGTGACAGAAGTAAAATTCCGGGCCAAGAGGCTAAAATTCTCGAGCGGGAGGCTAAAATTGTCGTGGTAATTCTCAAAATTCCCGTGTGAAAGTAAAATTCTCGTGTAGAATATTTCCGATATTTTCTCAATTGCCTGTGATAGAAGTAAAGTTCTGGGCCAAGAGGCTTAAATTCTCGTGTAACTGACAAAAATTCTCGTGGTAATTCTCAAACTTCCCGTGCGAAAGCGAAATTCTCGTGGTAACTCTGAACATTCCCGTCGGAAAGTAACATTCTCGTGGAGAATACCCCCGATATTTTCTGAGTTTCGTGTGATAGAAGTGAAATTCTCGGGCAAGAGACTAAAATTCTCGTGGTAATTCTGAAAATTCCCGTGTGAAAGTAAATTTCTTGTGGAGAATATCTCCGATATTTCCTCAGTTTCCTGTGACAGAAGTAAAATTCTGGGCCAAGAGGCCAAAATTCTCGTGTCTAATAAAAACGATCTAATCGAAGAAGGTCGTTTGTACTACAAAGGAAATGCGACAGTACAAAAAAAATTGATGAGTTTGAAATGACTTGTGAGCCAAGTCGGGCTGTATGGTGGTATACACGAGACTTATTTCGCTATCGGTTATTAACTAAAGCTCTTCGTAGTCAAAGCATTGAAATCATATTCAAATTTCGTTTCATTATTTGTGATTTACATCGACAACTGTATCAGCTACATTTACAACAAATGCTTCGCATGTGGCGAACACAGGATGACGACAAGATAAGAATCTGAAAGGTCTACAGAGGTCAACGCATGTCCGTAGAAGAATTACAAGACCGAAAGTAGGTGGATTCATATCAACGAACAGTTTTCTTTCGATGACAACAGCACGTGACGTCGCTGGAAATGGAACATATTATTCTCAATCTGAGCGTGTTCTGTGTGACATTGATTTAAACGCTGCATATGCAAGCCACCATCCCGACCCAACTAAACCTTTTTATAACATTAAATCATTGAGCAATTTCATACATGAAAATGAAATCATATTCACTATTTGAACTATATTTAAAATTAAATGGATTGATCGTCTAGATAATGACGGAATTTTATGGTGTGTTAAACTTAGTTTAGAAGATGTTACAGACCATTGGATCAGCGAAGCTGTAATGAAACCGACTGCAAATATTGCAAAACCTTTTTGGCGATTCGAATAAGACTACAAATAATTGATAAATGTCTGTTAGATTATCGTTTCCTCCATACTCGAACTTTATTGTCGACTTGTAAGCGGTACGAATTCACATCCTGTTACGACGTGCAACTTGAATTCTGTCTTAAAGCACTGAAAATTCTACAGACTTTATCATTTGTGAATCGAAGACTTACTGCAGAAATTTATGTATTCAATGCATTCACTTTTATTAAATGGTTTCATTTCTAAATTTGATTCGTTGCGAAACTCGAAGTTATCCTTTAAATTATTATTTTTTGTTGTTATGATTGTTTGAACATTGTTTGGTAAATTTATTATTAAGTCATTAATATCATCAGCAACTTTTGCATTATCGAATATAAATAGAATATTTAATCCTAATACATCCAGTCTACCATTTACCAAATTTATAATAATTTGTCTTTCTTCATTTCCTATTCTAAGCTCTTTTGTTGCCATATTTTTATAATCATTCCAAACTAAATCTTTTGATTCAGCATTAAACCAACGAACTATTTTATTATTTTCATCTTTTTGTTTATGTCCATATTTTGATGCAAGTGTTGTCTTACCCGAGCCAGCATAACCGCTAATGATAACATATTTATTTGATTTTGAAAATATTTCTTCTATTTCCTTGAATAATGCTTGTTTTTGTATAAAATTTTTTATGCTTTCATTCGGCATATTGCTTGATAATCGTATTAATGCTTTATCTTCTCTCAAATCCGAAATATCTTTTTTTAAATTATCAAATTTAACTTCTAAGTTGCCATATTTATTCTCGATATTTTCGTTCATTTTTGAAACGGTTGTTAAATATTTATTTTGGCTTTTAAGTTGATCATCTTGTCCTTGTTTTAATATATCAACTTTATTTCCTATATTCTTGCTCAAATTTGTAACGGCAGTTTTTATCTTATCTTGGCCCTGCTCGAAATTTTTATTTTGGCTTTTAAGTTCAGATATACTTAAACTTATCTCATCAAGTTTTGATACCATCGACTTTATTACGTCTTTATCCTCAATTATTTTATTTAGTTTTTTTCTAATTTCATCATTGTCGTTAGAATCTTTTAAAAGATCATAAAGATTTTGAATTTCTTGTTTAATTTCACTTTTGTTTTTAACGTTTAATTCTTCTATGTTCTTTATCTCCTGAATCAAGTCTTTCTTATGTCGTATCATCAAATCAATTATTTCTTCTCTATACTTTTTAAATCTTTCATTATCACTATAGGATGACGATAATACAGAATCGATTTCCTTTTCATAATATTGTTTCATATTTTGATCATCACATAGATCGGTAATTATTTGTTTTAGTTCATATTTATAATAATCATAATCAGGTTCATTCAACTTCAATGCAATTAAATGACCAAAATTTACATTACGTATTAACCGTAATCGATTAAAATTAGCAGGTAATGATCTATCATTTGGATCCATTGAACTAAGATTTTCAACCTAGTGATAATTCTGTGGTATACATAAACCTCGTAATATGCTATAACAAGATGATAAATCAAATTCATTTAAATTATTTGGTATAAGTGAATTATTTATTGGATCTGGATATGGAAAACTAGGATTTATATTCGATATTTTCTTCCAAACATCTATTAAATGATCGTTATTTTGTATTCTATTTAAATTACGATTTAAAAATTTAAAAACGTCTCCATTCATCCAATTTCTATTATGTATAAGTTGATCACGCATAACTTGTGTGCCATAATTAATTAATATTATAGATATCTTAATCGCGTTTTCTTGTTCTTTTGACATTTTTATGTTTTTTATTTATTTTTTTGATGAAAAGTTTCTAAAGATACATATTAATAAATCTTGAATTTACGTCTAGATAGTTGCTGATATATATTAATTCATCCTTTTAATTTTCTTATATAAAAATAAAGGAGGGGCCGTATAAGGTTATGAATCGGCCCACTCTCTTTTTTGACTAAAAATGGATCCATATGTAGTAAAAAAGTGCCTCTATTTCGTTTTCGGTAAAATCAGATACTTTTGTCACGTAAAACCAGGTTAATTCCTAAACAATAGCATCTCAATAAGCACCGTTAAAAAGCCACCATATGATGAGTACAGGCATGGGGGAGTCCGAGCCAAGTCCGAGTCCTTAAAAAGTAAAGCCGAGTCCGAGTCCTTCATATTAAGGACCGAGTCCAAGTCCCGAGTCCATTTCGAGTCCGGTAGTTTTTTACATTCTTTCTTTGATGGGTGTGGTTTATTTCTCTTGTATAATTTACTGAGCCCTGGATAGATATTTGATTTGTCGAAAATAAGATTACTTTGCATGTCTATTTCCTGAACAAAATTTTCAATTTCTTGTGAAACAGAAGGTGTTATTATTTCGCTTTTCTTTTTTCTCTGTTCATTTGCGTTGAAAGTTGAATAGATCGGACTCGAAATACAAAAAAACTCAAGTCCGAGTCCGAGTCCTTTAAAAAAATCTCCAGTCCGAGTCCGCCAAAAAATCTTCCAGTCCGGACTCGGACTCGCCCATGCCTGAATGAGTACAACAGATTTTTCTCAACTACCTTACACTGAAATGGCAAACTAAACACAGCATTAGATAGCACGTGAAATTCTCTACAAACGACCTTCACTGGTAGGACCAGTCATCAAAGACATACAAAACAAACATTCGAGGGCAGAAAACAGCTACTTCTTTCGTAATTTTTTCTATCATAATGGAAAAATATACATTTTTGAGAAATATACTCTTAGATAGTCCGTGCAATTCTCTACAACGTGAGTGGGTCAGAATATCTTCACTGGTGGAGCCAGTCATTAAAGATATGGAAAAGAAGCGTTTGGGTGTTATCTATGCAGTACAGTGTGTGATAATCACAAGAACTCCTTTGTTTTAGATCTTTTAGACAAAACTCAATCCAATCTGAATGAGGTGCATATCGACGTTTTCTTAAGAAAACTTGATAATAGGGTTTCTGGAAAACCTGACCGCTGGAAAACCAAGTCCATGGTTTTTGGTCCGAAAATTTTCCAAACCATATAGCCTGATAGAGCATAGGATTCTGAGCACAATAAGACGTCTCCCGGCTGTCTGAAATGCTTTGTCACCGTAATAGTTTGGTAATTTTAACGCCTGTTGTAGCCCTCCGTAAATCGACTGCAGCTGCGTGAAAAAGCATTATAGATATTCGAGAGACGTCTTATTGTGTTCAGACTTCT